GGGCAGCTATGTCTTCCTTGGCATAATTTCCCTTTTTTTTTTTTCAAGGGAGAGAGGTACTCTTGTTTCTTGGTCTCTTTCTTTATATCGGTGTTCATTCAGTGCAGGGACTCCACTGTGAGTTGCATATTCCAGAGCGACAGAATAGGGTGTTTTTGAATTCATATAGATAAAAAGGTTTTATTTTGTAGGTTTAGTGTTTTCAGTACTCATATTGTGGCACTTAAGAAATGCTTAGAAATAAACGAGGTATGCGTTTTTCTTCAGTACCTTCCTATGAATTTGGATAACCAAAATATTATGTGTAACTGCTTCTGTATTTGTATATTTCCATGTTCCTGGGTATAATTTGCATTTCTTTTCAAATGATTACTGGATTGAGTTTTTCTTGATGTGCAAATTCTATGAAATGTTTGTAGATGTGTTTTGATCTTCTCCTTAAGCATGGGTTCTCGTTTTTGCAATTAAGTTCATATTTGGTCTCTTTCTCCCACTTTTGTCCTAGCTTGGAAGGGAGGGTAGACAGGAAAGAGGTGGAGACCCAAAAGACTCACTCCTATGTGCTGAGCAGAAGCTCACCAAATCAGGTTTGATAAGTGCAATGAAACACAAACATCTTTTTTTTTTTTGGTCAGCATATTTGCTTGAGTGTTGAATTTTATGAATGGGAACAGATCTAAATATCATCTTAAAATGTACTGTGGACAGTGCTGATGTGCCTTTTTTCCATCTGGTATAAAAGGGAAACTGCAAACAATGGCAACCACGCCTTTGTTCTCCTGCTTTCCCATTTTTTGTCTGCATAATGTGGAGCTAAAATAATTGCCAGTTTTGGCTTTCACTCTTTTTTTGGTCAAAATTGTCCTCTTTTTGCCATCTGTTCCACAGCCTTACCGCTGCCCTAAAGCTGTACTTTTTTGATATCCGAGATCACTTAGAAATTCATGAACATATTGTAGTAAAGTGTATTTCTTTAGTTTTAGCTAAAAGTAAAATAAATCAAATCCTGGAAACGAAAACAGAGCTTTTTCATTTGTTGGAATAAAGACGTTTTTTAGTGTGGTTTCCTAAAGAAGGGAGGCTTACAGGATTGAGCTGTTTGTCCATCTGCTTTTCGGTTCATCCTTAATAACTTTTGAACAATTTCAGCCAGATTTGATGGGGAATAAAAAAAGTCTCAAAGGTAATTGGTTTCCTACGAGAAAACTGGAGGCTGGGTGGAGGAGAGAGACAAAAATAGGTGTCCCCACTGTCTGCAGCATAAGCTTAACAATAATCTGTGCTTAGGCTTTTGCTAGCCAAGTTGCAAGTGTGTGCTGGCTGCCTAGGTACTGCCGTAATCTCAGAGTTTCCAGAACGTGTTACTGAGCCTCGCGCAGGCAGAAGCGGAGGGGCCGTGAAAGGGAGGCAAGGGCATAGGGGATGGAACTGGAAATTTTAGGGAAAGGATGAAATCAATGGAAATCCGAGCTATCAGTAGCTTTATGATTGATGGACCAACTTGCTTTAGGCTCCATATGGTACTGCTGTAGTTTGTTGATCTCTGACTTCTCGGAGATTTGCTTGTCGAGGGTGCATCTGTGGTGTTTGCCTGGCTGTGAAATAACCAAAATGTAAGAAAGCATTTACATTGTGCTCAGAGAAAGCTCAGCATTCTGAAGTGGAGCCGGGCAGTTACTTTGGCAAATGTTTTATTCACTCAAAATGCCGCTTTAAGCTAGACAGAACAAGCTGTGAATTTAGATGGAATTAACTCAATAGTTTCTGCCGGGAAAAAAATGGAGAAGAATTCTGCAAATACATTCCCATAATATTTTATTTTTCCAGGCTCAAGACATTACTTGAATGAGCGCTTTTAACAAAATCAGGACATGAAGTGGGGGTGACTCCTGCAATGGAGGTTTATTTCCCTGGAATATAGGGACACTTTGCAACACTTTCTGCAGGAACTTGAATTTGAATGACCAAATTAATTATGTGTGTCACTTGCAAAATCTCTTCCTACCTCTTGCATTTGACAGAAGTAAGGCAGTGGACTGTCTTTCTCGTATATGCATTTGGTAAAATATTCATATTCCTGCATCTGTGGTGACTGTGGGAAGGAACCACCACCTGGAATTATTCATTGCCCGTGTCTCTGGTTTTTCATTGGTTTCTTTTGTTCTGGGCAAGCGCTGGAGATCCTGAGCTTACTTACAGCCCTGAGTCAGTGACAACCTCGTGCTATTATTGTAAATAGCAACACGAACGCTGTTCTTGTATGCGATTTTTTTTCATGGGCTTTGTCTTTCTCTTCCAACACTCCAGCCAAGGAATTTACAGAGCTTCTGAGTCAGCAATCAGCTGCCTCGAGACAAAACACGCAGGATACTGCAGACTTGCAGAATAGCCAACAAGGCATACAAATACCCTGGAAACTTGGCAACTAATTCTTGCCTGCCCTTGCTTTCCTCCTGTAATTTCCATGTTCTCTGACGTGTTGCTGGCGGGTTCCAAGGGCTTTAGGTGTTTACATCAAGAATGTGGAGTTCTAGGGAGTGACTAATTGCAGGGACTTGAAACCTCCTGATTTGACCCGTGGGCATAACTGGCTTCCCAGCCTGCGTGAAATGGGATGTTGACAGAACTGCTGTGCGGGCTGCGGGTGCATAAAATGGCCTGCTTTTGCAGGTTTGTCTCCTGGCTTGGCAAACCTCAAACACAAAGCAGAATGTTCCTAGAATGAAAGCAGGTTTGGGTTTTAACTTCTGGATTGCTCTGAGCAGTGCAGAACCGGCGCCGCTTCACTCCTGTGGTGAAAGAGTACAATAGAAGCAAGAGTAAGACATGAAACCCACGTTGTCCTTACATCTGGATATATCAGTAACAGACTTAAACTTCCACTCCACTGAATTTAGGTCATGTAACTTCTGTTGCTTTTTTTCTTAGGAAGTGTCAGTCACCTGAAGCGCTGGTGTAAAGCGAGTGTTTCAGCTGTAGAGCAGGGGTGCAAGAAGAGCAGGAAACATAACACAAAATAGTATTCAACTTGCAATGTTGTGCTGATTAATGAGGCATACGGCATTTAGGCTGTAGGTATTTTCTTGCATCTGTACTACAATGATGCACTGAAATGATTCCTTCAGCATAAGAGGTGGCTTGTTGGAGCTCTTTATAACATTCTTCTTGAGAACAGAGGAACAGAAGAGGGCTTAAAGCACAGTGTCTTAGACCTCTGCAGCAGTGCAGTGGTTGCCCTGAGGTGCAAGCTCAGAGCACGTTTCCAGCTTCACAACAGTCAAATTAAGATTAAAAGTAAGGAAAGCAGTTAGTTCCATCCTGCTTAGTGAGCAGGACTGATATGGACATGGCATCTCTATCAGCCAGTTGGAAAAACAGCTTCATGTGTACTCAGTCCTCTTAGGGCAGTTGTCCCAGTAAAGTCGGAATCACATTGTCTGGTGTAACTCATTGTTGTATTGTGGCTAATGTAGGAAATTTTATTTTAATTTTGAATAACAGACAGTTTGTGGCTAGATGTAAAGTTTTCCAGGTCTCCTTTGCTATTTCTAAAAGTAAACAATAAACAAAATGTCAGGGTGAAATGCAGGAGTGCCCAAATAACTGCTGCAGAGCTGTCATATGGGAGGGGAAGAGACATGAGCTGTAATGTTTGACTTGGCTTCCTGTCTGCTGGAAGCAGGAAAAGAGCTGGTGAGAATCTAAAAGGTTTTATCCGAGTCCACATATTTCCTTTTTTACCTTAATGCCCTTTGCAAAAAACCAAAGGGCAAAAAGCAACTCAGAAATGCTTTTACTTCCACAGTTCCCACATATGTTCCCATGCTGCCCCCCTATCTGAAGACAAACAGAACTGTTCTTTCTTGGAGAGCAATCTATTTTATGTATGTACTTAGTATTATATATAAAAGGAAGAAAGAGATTTATTATATATGAAAGAAAAAGAGAGGGAGAGAAAATACCTATTCTTTAAACAAAACCTGGTATTTGTGACCTGAACAATTCATGCTGTAGGTCTGCAGGCTGCTTCTGAGGGATCCCAGAAAAGCAACTAAGAGTAGCAGACCTCCTGTTAGCATATTTAATCTGCTGAGGACCCCAACTACCACCAAAAATTTTATAGGGACCTGCATATCAAAAGAAATTGAAACCCACAGGATAGAGGAACAACTGTGAGAGTCTCAGGAGGATCATGCCTCAGCCACGTTTCACTCTTACGCTGCTAACTTACTGACAGGAATATATGCATAGGCTCTAGGTAAGGCAAATGTTTATACTGCTTCATGCAACACAGGCATTTTTTTCAGTCTTGACATCTTTTCTTAAGCAGTTGATTGCTATTAGCATGTTTAACTACTTTTTAGGATTGCAGTGGCCATTACTGCATTTCTGATGCCACTGTGGCAGAGATACCAGCTTGTGCTATGCCATCGTCTTGCACTTCTTTATTTATCATGAGCAAAGACACATCTCCTTTTAGAATAAAGGAACCAAAAATTATTTTACTGGTGGAATACCAACTCCTAAAGTATACTGTGGTAGTGGTGTTTTTAAGACCAGCACGTAACCATTGCTGTGGTGTTATCACAGTGATCTGGTCATCACAGTGACTGCTACAGTAGTAATTCTATCTTTATATTTAAAAAACCTCTGCCTCCTTCCAAACATCACATAACATCTGCCAGTTTGCTTGTAACTTCTCTGCTGTTCATGTGAAATGAGTTTTGATAAAACTTTCTAGGGGCTGGCTCAGGTAAAGTATTTTGTGATTTAACAGAGGTGAGATGTCCCACTGTCTGCAGCGAGGCTCAGTGAGCTTTGGAAAGCTCCACTTCATCACCTCAGGGTATTCACCGGTTGACTTAAATTTAGGACTGATGCTTTATTAGTTGCTGAGAATCTGGGCTCTTGGTTTAGCAGGCTTAGACAAAATTTTGAAAAAAAAAAAAAAAAGAAAGAGCAAGCTCAGTTATGTTTTCTTCTTTTTCTTTTATAGGTTAATAATGCTTGTAAGCCAGAGGTGAAAGTGGCTCATCGGAGCAACATCGGGAAATCTGGCAGACTGGAAGAGAACGGCTGCCCCCCAGGGCAGCTGCCAAGTGTGAAGCATGGAGGAAAGTAAGAATGAGAAGGTGAACCAGGCTCATGTTCTCTTCGACAGATTTGTCCAGGCTTCAACCTGCAAGGGGACTCTCAAGGCTTTCCAGGAGCTCTGTGACTACTTAGAACTAAAGCCCAAGGACTATCGTTCTTTCTATCACAAACTCAAATCCAAGCTAAATTACTGGAAAGCCAAAGCCTTGTGGGCCAAATTGGATAAAAGAGGCAGCCATAAGGACTATAAGAAGGGGAAAGCATGCGCCAACACGAAGGTAAGAGATTTATTCACTGTGGTCAAGACAACTACGTGTTAGGGATGGTTAGGGTAACCATCCAGAGGGGTGTCTCTGGAGTACACAATAAAAACATCTTGATTTAGAGATATGTTTGCCTGGTATCAGTGTAAACCCAGGGAATATTCAGGAATGTTCTCACCCACATCATTTATAATACAGTCACAATTTGTTAGCGTTTGACTCTCAATCAAAAAATGTGTTTGCTACTATGAAATTTGACTGCCCATCTTGCATACGGGAAGCTAAATGGACATCAGAAGATTTGTAATTTATTCAGAAGCGGTCTGCAAGTTTGTGTTTCATGTTTTTGTGGCATCAGTACTATAGATGAATTAGAAAATCTTAATTGGTAAACCTTTAATCTTGGCAGGCTTTTTTTTTTTGTTTTTTTTTTTTTTTTTTACTAGACAATAACAGGGACGTGAAATTTGCAGTTGGAAATTTCTAATTTTAATTTGAATATACTCAGGAGTCTGGAGAAAAGTGAACTTTCATGCCGATTTAGTAAAATATTCTATTTACCATTATTTAGAAAGTAATCACTTATATTCCAGGTTGAGAGAGAAAAAATGCTTTGGAAACTCATACCAATTCCTCCTAAAGGGTTGGTGTGTGAGATAATTACTGCAGGAATTCCTACTTTCACACACACCCCCCAATTTTTTTTTAACCTGAATTATTGTGAGCTGATATTTGTGCTGCACCCTTGTTGGACTGTACAGTATGAGATTATTTGTTTTGTTGTTACTCAAAGCAGTTCTTTATATCATTCATCAATATGTGAATGGAATAGGTTGTTTTTGCAAATAAGCATATACTCTTCCTTTTTTAAAAAAAGTAGATAGTGTGGAATATGATAAAATTAGAACAGGATTCTGTTCCCCTTCATTGAGGACAGGAGATGCTGCTTCTTTTCTTGAATATTCACCTTTTGGGAGAAGGAAATATCTTAATATGAGGAATTAATGACTAATTCCTCAGTAGAGAACTGAGGGGGAAGTATGTCCTAGTTAGGCTTTGTCAGTCGTTTCAGATCTGTAAACTGAAGAAAAGGTTGCATTGATAATAGAGATGCAACATGAAATAAGAGATTTAATGGAAGAATAAGTGTATGACTTTGATAGTGCTTGATAATGCGGATGTACCAAAAAATAGATGTGAGTGGAGGCTGACATGCAGCTCTGAAAGACATCCAGAAAATTGATTGTGACACGTGTCTAGAAGGGAAGTAAGTTGTGAGGTGAGTTTAGAAGGACGTTAGAGCTCCTTTTTATCATATTGGGCTTGAACTGACAACTAGGCAGCTATGAGGAGATGTCAAAAAGATAAAGATTTTAGCTTGGACAAAACGTAGTCAACTCTTGAGTTGGAAAAGTTCTGTTAAACTACAGCACTGACAAGCTGATTGAACCAGTGCCTGTGAATGAGGTGGTGCAAAGGCAGATCGTAGAGGAAGATGATAAAGAGATGATGAGTGAAGACCTGCAGAAAGTCGGTGGTGAGAGAAGTGGGAGAGATGAGCGAAGTCCTTCAGAACAGCGCTTTGAAAGAATAGCTGGAGACAAAGAGGAGTACTGAGTCTTAAATCAGAAAAGGACATGCTTTCAAGTAATACATGTAGCCAACTGTCTATAAAACATCTCTTCAAGCGCAGTTGAAAAGTGGGTAAAAATGGTAAAGCCTACTGGGAAGCTTGACTAAAGAATTTCCTAGAGATTTTGTGTAGTCCAAAAGCTTATCCTAGTCTGTGCACCAAAAGCAAGTTAGAGAGAGTGTAGCATGGAATTGGAGAAGTGGGATCAAGAGAGTGATTGTAGAAGTGGCATGTAGTGATCTTGGAGATGCGATGGTGGCAAGATAAACAGGGACTTATGGGGTCGTGTGTGACTTTTCCTCATTTAATGATGAGAGAGAAACCTCAGAACGTGCTGGTGTTGGTATGAAGGACTGCAAGGTTGAGAGGAGGGGAATGATTGCAGTGGACACATCAGTCTGAGATCACGCTGAGCTGGTCTTACTCTGTAGCTGCTTTCCTGCATGGATGAGAAGAAGAGAGGAAAAGGAAACTATGGAGACTATGCTAAGGTACGTGGAAAATAAGGAGGTGATTAGTGACAGCCAACATGGCTTCACTAAGGGCAAATCGTGTGTGACAAATTTGGTGGCCTTGTATAATGGCATTACAGTGTTGGTTGGTAAGGAAAGAGCAACTAACATAATTTATGTGGACTTTATGTGCACTTGATGCTGTCCTGCATGACATCCTTGTCTCTAGATTGGAGACACATGGATTTGACAGATGGATCACTTGGTGGATAAGGAATTGGCTGTATGGCTGCACGCGCAGGCCTCATGGAGTGGAAACCAGGCGGTGTTCTTAGGGGTTAGTACTTGGACTGGAACTGTTTAACATCTTTGTTGGGCAACATAGACAGTAGGATTGAGTGCACCCTCAGTAAATTTGCTGATGGCACCAAGTTGTGTGGTGTGGTCAACATGCTGGAGGGAAGGGATGCCGTCCAGAGGGATGTGGACAGGCTTGAGAGGTGGGCCTGTGTGAACCTTATGAAGTTCAACAAGGCCAGGTGTGAGATCCTGCACCTGGGCCAGGGCAATTCCAAGCACAAATATAGGCTGGGCAGAGAATGGATTGAGAGCACCCTTGAGGAGAACAACTTGGGGGTGTTGGTTGAGGACAAGCTCAACACGAGCCAGTGATGTGCTCTCGCAGCCTGGAAAGCCGTCCACATCCTGGGCTACATCAAAAGAAGCGTGGCCAGCAGGTCAAGGGAGGTGATTCTATCCCTCTACTCTGTTCTTGTGACACCTCTCCTGGAGTACTATGTCCAGCTCGGGCGCTTCCAACATAAGAAGGACATGGACCTGTTGGAATGGGTCCAGAGGAGGGCCATGGAGATGCTCAGGGGGCTGGAGCACCTCAGGCAGGCCGAGGGAGTTGGGGTTGTTCAGCCTGGAGAAAAGAAGGCTCCAGGGAGGTTGCCCAGAGAAGTTGTGGATGCCCCATCCCTGGAAGTGTTCAAGGCCACATTGGATGAGTAGTTTGAGCAACCTGGTCTAGTGGGAGGTGTCCCTGCCCACAGCAGGGGAGTGTTGTAGCTAGGTGATCTTCAAGATCCCTTCCAACTCTAACCACTCTACGACACTATGAAGAGAGGAAGGGGAGCAAAGGCGAGCCAGAGGGTAATTTGCCAGTATCTCCAAGAAGCTGTTGGTGAGGTGCTGTATAGAAACACAAGTAAAAAGGATGAGTGGTGAATAAATTAAAGGTGGCACCCCCTCTGCTCCAACCCAGAAACATACAGGACTGTGGTTTTGGGATTCACGCCATTTTGAGTAGTGAAATTAATCGCTTAGAGAAAGTGAAATGTAGTTAATTTTTTTGTTGTTGTTAGTATGTCTTAAAGAATATATACCTGTGATGATAAATGTTTTTTGTTGAAAATTTGTTGACATTTTTAATGTTAAGAAATTATAAATATATGAATTCTTTTTATATTTTTAATATATGTTTCTGTTAATTACTTGTTTTCTGTCCTAGTTGTATCTGCCGTTAAATGTTTTGTAATTCCTAAGAGACTTTATTCAAAGTAGATGGCTTTTGAGAACTGAATCATATCTGATTGGGTGTTTCCTATCTCACTTGGGTTTATACTCCAAATGTTTAATCTAGTTTGCAAACCACAGATAAAAAAATAGAGAAATTAAAGTGTGTGTGTGGAGATGATACAATTTAAAATAAAGATTAGGGTTTTAGCCATGTTATCAGACTAGAGAGTAATTTCTTTAGTAATCTCAGCTTCTATACGCTTGAACATACACCAGTTTTGAAGTTCTCCTCTGTAGTGTAGCTTTTACTTGCCCATATAAAAATTGGTCAGGGGTGATGTTCTGTGACTGGAACTGGGCAGCAGCTGGGCAATTAGTGCATCACATGGCTAGCGTCCAGCTTAACCAGAATTCAGATAATCAGCATTCGTGAAAGCAAGACTTGGAATTGATGGCTTGTTCAGATGTAAATAGTTACAAATGGTGCTCTCTCTTCATTAGTTACACAGAGAATACAGGATTTCAGTTTATGTTTAATGTTCCATTGCCATGGTGCTGTTACTGAAACTTAATATAATCTTTCTGTAAGATCTTGAGCAAGAAGTGTTTCTGAGGGGTGAGACAGCTTTAATGCATGGAGTTGCAGCAGTTGAGGGAAAGGGAACAAGGAACAGCAGTAGCTGCCTTTACTTGGCTCTACTTGGCGTCTCATGTAGTTACAGCTGCCCGTGAGAGTATAAAAAGGCGGGTTTCTATGAGAGATCTGAAGCTGGAAGAAGTGCTGAAAGTGGGAAAGGGAGCATAATCTTTCCTTCTGTTTTTAATTGTGCTTAAAACTTGCTGTCTTTTATAACAATTTCATATTTTTATGATGTTAAAAACAAAAACAAAACCAAAGCACCAACTTTGGCCATGATTTACTTCACCGAGTATCATATATTTTACATCCAGAACATCTAGAGTCTTAAATATAACCTAGATGTTGTTAACCACATCCTTGGTTGGGTTCAGGAGGGAAGGCGGTAGAGGAAAAAAATGTTTTTACATTTCTATGTCAAAATTACAGACAATTAATTTATAATTTTAGTACATAGACCTGAGTTTGAATAGTCTGATTTTTGTACAAATACTTTGCTGTTGTGTACTCTGTCATAACTATTTTCTATAGGGAAGTTATCAAAGAACGTACCCAACTCAGTATGATCTTGTTGCTTATTGAATACAGTCTTTGAAGATTGCAGTTGTCAGATAAGCAAAACTATTACCTGAATAAACATGATGTGCTCAGCTAATTTTCTTACAAGTGTAAGAAAAGAAAGACTAAATGATGTTTAAGAGTTATACTTACTGTCAAAGAAAACAGTATTGAATTGGAAGAATATATTAGATCTTAATTGGTTATCCCTTTTAACAAACGACAAGTTGGACACCAGTTCAATATACAAGTCTATGTTACAATTTAATAGCTCAGTGGTTGGGCTTGTCTTTTCTCCCATGTGCCTTCAGGTTCCTGAAGCTACTAAAGCAGCAGTGCTGTTATTCTTCCCTTCCCTCTAGACTTGGATCTCTGTCCTCAGATTTATGTGACTTCTTGTCTTATGCATTAGTCTTACTTTGAATTTGGGTGTCGGTTCTTATGTCATCACTGCTGTAACTTACACTGTTCCACCCATCAGTCAGGCTTTGTATTTGTGGTTTCACATTGTTTGCAGAATTTATGCCCCAGTGAAGAACTGGTGAAAATGTGGCAACCTGTAAAAATTGGCGTACCAGTTTTTGGGGCGACCAAAGAACAAAGAGCTTTGCTCTGGAATATGCTGTTTACCAGAAGGTTGGGTTCTAGTGAAGTTTTAGCATACTTAAGAATTTCTAGAAGGACTCTGTCCAGCCATGAGAGTGTGTAAGGATTTGGAAAATACTCAGATGGCAGCAGCAGTAGTCACCACTGTAGCAAGGTCTCTATTCTGTGGGTCTGCTTTATATTCAAAGTACAAAAATGATATGACAAAATGAACTGTGTACTGTATTCCTGTGAATGCACGTAACCATACCAGCGTTCTTTGTGGACCTCGGTTTCTGTGGGTAAGAAGTGTCAACTGTTTAATCTTGTTGTTTTAATCTTAAAAAAAATGATCTTGCTGTATCACTTGTTTCTCTGGAAGTACTTTCAACACTAGATATGCAAGTATTTTACATTCTCAACTTATTAGCCTCTGAGAGTGTTTGTGAGTAGAGGGGAATAAAGATAAGAGAAGATGAAAGACTTTTTATATGACAAAGGTTAGGTTGGAGAAAATGTATTTTGATAAAAGTTGTTTAGTCACAGAAAGTTCATATTTACTTCCCTGAAGTCTCCTTTTATGCGATAGTAGAAGCACCAGCATAGGCATAAGTTAGTGTCTAAATGATACAGCATCTTTTGTATTTACCTGCCTTAACCATTGCTATGCTACGCCGTGATGAGGAGGAATTTTTGGTGTTACTGAAGATTTTCAGAAGATGGGCCAGCTCAGGCTTTGGAAAATGAGAGTAAAACACTACATCACCTTTTCTTTAAGAAAAAAAGTCACATGGATGGAATGAGAAGGAGAAGCCTTCAGAAATATTGCTGTTCTCTAGGTGCTTAGGTGGCTTGGAGAGTACTACTTGGTGTCTCTTCAAATGAGGGTTTAAAAGAGGCAGGTGGCTTCCCTGCTTCTCCAAACTTTACTGCTCTGTGACGTGCTTTGTTTTCAGGTTGCAGGAACTGGTTTAACATCTTGGTGGCAGAGCATGACGGGTAAGAATAGAAAGACTGATCTAAAATTTCAGCTTACGTTGCAGACAAGGAGGACTTAGACTCCTAGGAGCCTTGGGATACTTGGAAACTGTGGTAAAAATATCTTTTTCCTCCTAGGACCATAAAGTTACTCTGTGCTGGTTGTTTTGCAGTGTCTGATAATTGGGGCTGGACCCTGTGGCCTTCGTACAGCCATCGACCTGTCATTCCTAGGAGCCAAGGTGGTGGTCATAGAAAAGAGGGATGCCTTTTCCCGAAATAATGTGCTGCATTTGTGGCCATTCACCATACACGACTTGAGGGGTCTTGGCGCCAAAAAGTTTTACGGCAAATTCTGTGCAGGATCCATAGACCATATCAGTAAGTACAGTCGCTGCTAGACACAGCAGCACTTGTTCTTCTCAGGGGAAAGGTGGGTGAGGGCATGGGGGATAATTCATTATAATTCAGCCTACACCTCTCGCTGCTCTCAAGTCTTTATGGCAAAACTCAGCATTACCTTTACGTAGTGCATTTTTGGGCTAGACCTAGATATCAAATAAATACATTGTGCCATGAGGTTATCGCACATCAAAAATAGCGTGACCAGCAGAAGCAGGGAGGTGATTGTGCCCCTGTACTCAGCACTGGTGAGGCCACACCTTGAGTATTGTGTCCAGTTTTGGGCACCTCAATACAAGAGAGATATCGAGGTGCTGGAGCGAGTGCAGAGGAGGGCAACGAAGCTGGTGAGGGGGCTGGAAAACAAATCGTATGAGGAGCGGCTGAGGGAGTTGGGACTGTTTAGTATGAGGAAGAGGAGGCTGAGGGGAGACCTCATCACTCTCTACAACTACTTGAAAGGGCGCTGTAGAGAGGTTGGTGCTGGTCTCTTCTCACAGGTAATTAGTGACAGAACGAGAGGGAATGGCTTCAAGCTCCAACAGGGTAGGTTTAGACTGAACATTAGGAAAGAATTTTTCACCGAAAGAGTGATAGGGCATTGGAACAGGCTGCCCAGGGAGGGGGTGGAGTCCCCATCCCTGGCTGTGTTTAAGGGCCGTTTGGATGCAGTGCTAAGGGACATGGTGTAGGGGAGGACTTTGTAGAGTAGGGGAGATGGTTGGACTCGATGATCCCAAGGGTCTCTTCCAACCTAGACGATTCTATGATTCTATATATCTACCGTCTTTTACACCTGTTACTTTCCCAGGCGCATCATTTCCCTAAACTGAAAAGTATATTTAAGGTTCAAACCCTCTTTTTTTTTTTTTTTTTTTTAACGGAGAATTTTCATATTTTTGCTGTTACGTTCCTGCAGCTGCCACAGCATGCTGTTTCTCTTGAGCATTGTAAGCAACTCGTAAAAAAGAAAAATTACTGAATGCTTTTGAACATTCTTGTGAATGTTGATCTGGAAGGAGGAGGAACAATTTTGGCTTTGTTAATTTTTGGAAGAGTGATGAAGTTATTCATAGCTGTCAGCCTATGAATAAGTTTTAATTAAATAGGTGTTTATGTATTAAAATTGAGAATAATTTTGATGATTCTCAAATGCTGAGAAATCAGTCTCCTTTGAAACCTTAATATTTTGGTGGAGCCAAAGTTATTATTTTTCAGTTTTTCTTTTTTTCAAATATTTACTGGACATAGCCAAGTTTTGCCCACCAGCCTGTGTTCTCTACTGGGCATAAGTGGGAAGAATGAAGTGGCATAAGAATAGTAGATAAGATTTGGCTTCTTGTCCAAAGCAAAACCCGCCTATTTATTTATTTTGTGTTTGTCAATGAATGGTAAAACTGGAAGATCTTTGGAACATCAATCTTGCAGATTTCTTTTTCCCTTCCAATTTCTTGTAGTTTAATTTCTTCCAGTAATTTATATGTGTTGTCTCCTTTTGTCTCTCAGCACAGCTGGAATTTAGTGTTTAGATGGAACATTTTTTCATTTCTTGACAGTAAGGTGTCTTTCCTCAAATGAATAGAGTTGGCATGCTGTCATTTTCATACTTGCTGCCTACATTAACTGAAGAGGAAAGAGGTGGTGAGGAACTTGGGAACTTACTGTGCCCTCACTATCCCAAAGGTGTTAGTATGAATGTGCAGTTCAGTATCACAGCTAGGCTAATCAAATGGCTGGTTGCCATCTGTGACAAAAGTCCAGTCCTGCTTGTGCTCTCTTCCCTCCCACTCCTGCAGTGCATGTTCTGGTTGTTTCCCTTGTTGCTGATTTGGGGACTGAAACATAAAAGAAAAAATTTACTTTTTATTCTTTGAAAACGGCTGGGGTTTCAGCTATATAGAAGTTTCTTGGCATGCCATGATATTACACACCAGTGCTGCCTGGAGGAAGTGCTGGGAGCACAGTGGAGGAAAAAGAAAGTAGCAGCTGACCTTTAAATCAGTTCATCAGTAATGTCAAACAGAGACATGTGGGCACTTTGCTCTTTTCCTTTTATTTCTTTATCTGCTTTCTTGCAGGTATCCGACAGCTCCAGCTTATCCTTTTGAAGGTTGCCTTGATCTTGGGAATAGAGATCCATGTCAATGTGGAATTTCAGGGGCTTGTTTACCCTCCGGAGGATCAGGAGAATGAAAGCAAGTAGCATTGAAATGGGTAGTAGAGAAAGGGGGAAGTTATGGTGGGATACACAGACTCCTGCTCCTTAACTCTGCTATGACTCTGAGTTCTTTCCTCATGCTCCATTAATGACAATAATTATTAATACAGTTTTTTCTTGAATTTTTAATAGGATTATTCTATTTACAAATCCAAATTAGTTATCAGATAGAACAAAATCACCTGAAGTACTACATGTAGAAATAGAACATGACACAGTAATTGCTCCTAAAATATTTAAGCCTATTACATTCAGAAGATACCTTTTTAAAGCAACTCCTTTCCTTGCATTCACTGAAGATACTTATATCAGTGAATGATTTGTATTATGCTTTTTGTATCTTTGTGAAACCTGTTCTCTGATAGCCATGGGAGGTAGTGACTTATTTGTTTCATACCTATTAACTGAATAGGTAGTAGAGGAGCTCTAAAGGTCGTAGTGATCCTTAAAAGTAATAGAGGGGTTTTACTGGAGCTGTCTCTGCCTCTGATTCACACAGAGCAGCTGTGCAAGTCAGCAACAGCCCTATCAACAGTATAGCTGTCCTGCAGTGTATGTTTACTGACCGTGTGAGGAAGGGATTATGGACAGTAAGAATTGGGTTTATGTATTTGTTCTATTATGAGCACTATTTATATTGTCATTAACTTGGAGTTTATCAACAGGAATAGGTTGGCGGGCATTGGTCCACCCAAAAACCCATCCAGTATCGGAGTATGAGTTTGAAGTCATCATTGGAGGGGATGGCAGGAGAAACACCTTAGAAGGTAATGCTGTGTCCGTAATTCGTTTTTAAATAGAGCTTATTCTTTAATCAGAGCAAAAATGACCTCTAACATCCCAATCGCAATCTGGAAAGGTGTTTGACTAGTGAAATGGGAGATTACAAGTCCACATAAAAATCCATTTGCATAAAAGACAAGTGGGTTGTCTTTTTCCTCTTGCTGTCCATTAGCCATGAAATTAGATGGTTTGACCTGGATAAATTTTCCTACATTTTTTCTTTAGTTGATTAGTGTGGTACCTCTTACTTTTGAGAGGAGGAATTGAAGTGTTACTATGCTGTTTAGTAGAGAATTCTATCTTAATATTTTTGATGCAAGTTGCAATTTTGGAAAAGAGGTGAGAAGGAAAGGGGAGCTCCTTTCCCTAAACAAGACTTTTATTTTTCTGATGAAGCAATTGTTGCTTTCTCTGTGGAGCAGTTTGTAGTTCATCAAATCCATTCTCTCTGTTTTGTGAGAGCACCTGTCCGTGGCATGCTAAGCCATCTCTGAAGCTGTGCTCTATTTTTCAATGTTACTACTTTATCCATCCTGTAGGGTTTCGCCGGAAAGAGTTCCGTGGTAAACTAGCAATTGCTATCACAGCAAACTTCATCAATCGCAACACCACAGCTGAAGCCAAAGTAGAAGAGATCAGTGGTGTGGCCTTCATATTCAACCAGAAGTTCTTCCAGGATCTACGAGAAGCCACAGGTTTGCCAGCAATTGCCAGATTTCCAGTGAAAACTTATTTGTCTTTATTATTACAGCTTTGTAATTCTGGTTTCGTGTTTAATCAATAAATGAACATCTTGTGCAAGGAAGTCAGTCATTGCTAGCTCTCTTTGAAATCTGACTTCACCGTTTTTACAGCTGTTCTATACAGTTGTACAGAACAGATGTGTTCCATTCAGATGCGTATAATTTTTGCTTAGAAGTAGAGAACTTCTAAGGTTTTCGGGTAATATGAGCCCTAAATAGGAAAAGTCTGAATCCTGAGTTCAGTTTCCTGCCATTCCGCATCTGAAGGCAAATCTTAGAGTGATGTCACATCTCTTTTTTAAAAGTGGTAGCTATATGCAAGTGAAATGTTCTGCTTGTGGTTTTGTTGAAGATTCATATTTTACAGCCATCAAAAGAATGAGAGAAAGCTGCTTGGCATTCGCTCTCTAAGGTTTTCTAACCTCGTACTTTCAATTTACTTTCTTCCGTTAGAGCTCTTGTGTTACACCTAACATGTAACTTGCTCCTTCATGACCATGTCTTTTGTTCTGTCACAAGGTATTGACTTGGAGAACATTGTCTACTACAAAGATGATACGCACTACTTTGTCATGACTGCCAAAAAACAGAGCTTGCTGGAAAAAGGAGTGATACGACATGTGGGTATTAACTTTTCCTGTACCCTCTATAAACTAAGATTTTGGTGCAGTTTGCTTTCAGTGTGCTGAAGGAAGGGAAACACTCTTTTCTTTCACCATGGAATGTTTTTATACCGGTGTATTTTAGGCCACAAATATATGTGGTTAATGCTTGTTCTTGGAAGTATTTTGGGCCATCAGAAAAGTATTACAAGATCAGTCCTCTCCAAATTTGTATTCCTTTGTAGATTTGGAGGGTTCTTTCATGTTAAGATAAAATAATGTTAACCTTTGATAGCTTAGTTGAGCATCCCTCATTTTATGGGAATGAAACAACAGGAAGTGAAGAAAGTATTGGAAATGTATCCAAGTCTGATAGAAGCTAATTAAAAAGTACTTTGGCCACAAATGAATAAAGAAGGAGTCTTGTGCCTTTTGTCTGAAATGTGTGAAGAGAAATGCTCAGAAGTTTTAGCCCTTTCATGGTCAGAAAGGCTGGGAGGACTGGTTACTGTTTGCAGTAAAATATTTACAAATTTTCTCTTGGAAGCACAAACACAGGTAGGAATCAAAGAAATTAGAGGGCAAACCTGTATCAGTGGATTTGTAGGATTTTTAATGCCAACTATTGTATGTACCAGTCTTAAACTTGCACACTTGACTCTCACACTTCTAATTTTCTCTTTTTGACAGGATTATGCCGACACAGAGTTACTACTCTCACGGGAGAATGTGGACCAGGAGGCTCTGCTAAACTATGCCAGAGAAGCAGCTGATTTCTCCACTAATCAGCAGCTGCCATCACTGGACTTTGCCATCAATCACTATGGCCAGCCAGATGTGGCCATGTTTGACTTCACGTGCATGTACGCATCGGAGAACGCAGCCCTGGTGCGAGAGCAGAATGGCCACCAGCTGCTTGTGGCACTGGTTGGGGACAGTCTCTTAGAGGTTTGTTTTTTAAAGTTATCATTTGTAAAGAAAGAATTGAAGCAGAAACACAAGCCATTGCACCCATCACCAGAATATGCTCTGCCTATAAAATAGTAACTATAAGAAAAGCTGCTGTTTATTATGTAATAAAGTGGGAGGTTTGAAGGAAGAGTAGGAGTGTTGGGAAAACAGAATATTTAGGATGGCAATGATCTTGCTTAAGAAAATGTATGCAGAGATTTTTTTTCTGAAGTTATGTCTGTTCCATCTGCTTCTTATTGGTTCAATTAGACTCTACAGAACCTACTGTAGGCCTGTTAATAATTAGCATTTTGTACTTGGGTTAAAAAGTGCAATCTTGAAGAGAAGCTGCTAAGACTCTCCAGGGTATGAATTGTTGTTGGAAATAGGAACATTGACTTTGGGGGAGCTCTAGCCTCGTGGGAGTGGAGCTTTAAGCTAATTACTGAGCTATAATTTCCCAGCAGATTACCATTTGAATATATTATTGAGATTTGTTTAAAATTTTTGCTAACTGATGCTTTCCCTTTCTCTATTGTGTTTTGTTTTGGTTTTTTTTGGTCTTTTTTGTTTGTTTGTTTTCTTTTTTTTTTTTTTTTGGTTTTTTTTGGGTTTTTTTTTTTTTTTTTCTTTTTTTTTTTTTTTTGGTTTTTTTTGGGTTTTTTTTTTTTTTTTTCTTTTTTTTTTTTTTTTGGTTTTTTTTGGGTTTTTTTTTTTTTTTTTCTTTTTTTTTTTTTTTTGGTTTTTTTTGGGTTTTTTTTTTTTTTTTTCTTTTTTTTTTTTTTTTGGTTTTTTTTGGGTTTTTTTTTTTTTTTTTCTTTTTTTTTTTTTTTTGGTTTTTTTTGGGTTTTTTTTTTTTTTTTTCTTTTTTTTTTTTTTTTGGTTTTTTTTGGGTTTTTTTTTTTTTTTTTCTTTTTTTTTTTTTTTTGGTTTTTTTTGGGTTTTTTTTTTTTTTTTTCTTTTTTTTTTTTTTTTGGTTTTTTTTGGGTTTTTTTTTTTTTTTTTCTTTTTTTTTTTTTTTTGGTTTTTTTTGGGTTTTTTTTTTTTTTTTTCTTTTTTTTTTTTTTTTGGTTTTTTTTGGGTTTTTTTTTTTTTTTTTCTTTTTTTTTTGGTAAACTGTAATATTAGCCATTTTGGCCAATGGGAACTGGAATAGCCAGGGGATTTTTGGCTGCAATGGACTCTGCTTGGATGGTACGAAGTTGGTCACTCGGAGCTAGTCCTTTGGAAGTTCTTGCAGAGAGGTAATAGAAAAAATGAATACACTTTTGGTTCTAATCTAATTCTCCAACATCTCATCATTCATTCCAATTTCTTCTAGTAGAAATATATAGACAGAATGGGTGATACAAATTCTCACTGGTTTTAGAGGAGGCTTGTGGATATAATTCAGTCAAAGAAAAAAATTCCTAAGGAGCTGATAAACTGAAGTATATTTATAGAGGAGTAAGAAATGTTGCAGCTGTTCTTGGTCCTAGTTTTAAAAGCAGATTAGATGAGGAGTCTTTTTTTGTTGCTTACTGATATTACACAGAGAAAGTGAGCCTGACTTACTCTGGCCAGCTCTACAACAGCAAAGCAAATGAAGATATAGGTGCCTTTAAAGTACCAGAGACAAAAATTCTTGCTGTCCCCTGTTATCTTGTGGGTATCTTTTATGATTTTATTTTAAGGAAGCTAAGACCTGCTTTTATTTCATGTTCTCCAGAACTGATCACTTGGCTTCATATAAGCCAAACAACATCTTGTGTTTCTTTGGAGGATTGAGTTCTTCATGTTTTTATCATCTTTGGTTGAGTGTTATTTTGGAGACTCAAGGTGATTAATCTTAGAGGTCAGAACTTGGGTAACTAAAAGGTAGAGTTAAGTAAAAGCCAGAGTCTAATGGAACCTATTTTAAACTTAAGCAATTGCAGTTTCTGACCATCAGGAACCATAGTATCATTTAAAAAATTATATTAATGGCATAACGGATATTTAAAGTTCCATTTGTATGAAATTAAAAAAAAAGAAAAAGAAGATAATAATGTTGCAGCTGGAGCCAGAATTCCATCACCTTTCCATTAGACATTTCCAGACAGCAGTAAGATCTTCCCTGGTCCTTCTCTTCTGCACACTGAACAAACCCAGTTGCCTTGTCCTCTCCTCCCAGGGCACGTGCTCCAGTCCCTTTGATGGTCCTCTTCCTGAGTCGCTCCTGTGTCTCAATGTCTTTCTTGTGCTGGGGAACCCTTTCAGTTATGCTTAATGTGTTGTTTTCTTTCCTCCTTTTGATTTCTGGAGTTATATTAAATTGGAGATTTTAATAGACTTGTTGAATAGCCAAGTTTCAGTATGTCCAAAGTGATTAGATTTCTGATTTGAATGTTTAAATCTCCAGAATTGACTTAGCATATTATTAGTGATTAATTTCTTTAAAAACAAAACAAACCCATAAAACCTAAAACTTTTAAAAAATTTTATTTTTCTAAGGGAAAGCATTTATAGATTACTGCCTCAGACCACCCCTGAGAATGTGAGTAAAAACTTCAGCCATTACAGCATTGATCCCGCCACCCGGTATCCCAATATCAACATGAACTTCTTGCGGCCACAGCAGGTAAAACTGGACAAATGGTGCTTTTGAATGCTTGCAATCTGCATTGTCTTTCCTTAGATGAAGCTATGCTAATGTTTTGGGAAGAGATAGTGACCTGATGTGGCAATATAAAGTGGAAGCAGTGAAAACATGTATCAGTCAAGAGTCGACCTCTGTGCTTTAACAAATTTCTGTTTAGGAATTTTTGATATCGACAGTTTTAACCTTGTTCTAATAATACATGAAATCTATACGTGCATGTGCGCACTCATATTTTCTTTGTAATAATCTGGTATAGCAGTCTGTCAGTGCAATTTGGTATCCACTGAGCAGCAGCAGCAGTCAGCTGGACTGTTCAGCGCTGACTAGCTATTCTTTGTTGTTCTGGGGTTCTTGGACTAGAGATTTCTGCTACATAAGTGTACTTGTCTTCCTTTTTGTGCCTTTGGATGGCTCTTTCTTGTTCTGCTCTCTCTGTATGGATCTTGGGTGCATGGCATGATGGTAACTTTTTATTTTTTTGTGTCATTTTAGGTACGCCACTTGTACAATACAGGAGACTTGAAAGACATTCACCTGGAAATAGAGAACTTTGTGAACTCCAGGACACCAAAGCTGACTCGGAATGGTAGGCCTGGCTACTGCTCTGTTCCTTTTGGTGTTCTGGGGCTGGATCAGTGCAGAAGGGCTCTAAAGTATTACTTAACCTGTCTCTTTTGGTTTAGAAAAAGTATCAATCATTTTGTCACTAGTCTGACTTTTTCTATTTTTCAAGTTTCAGTTAACGTGTAAATGTATTTTTGTTGCCTAATTTCCCTTGGTTAATAATGCTGTTACATTTCTAAGCATATTTGCTTATGCAAACATTTTTTTCACACCCTTTACCCCATAACAATGTAGAGAAGCCTGGTCTGAATTCACTCTAACAGTAAACTCAGAACTCTTACAAACGTTAACAGCAGGTGTTTCTTCTGCAGTCTTTCACATTCATACTTTAATCTCATCTCTTAGCTTAACTGAATGAAACCTGACTTTGCTTGCATTATTCTGAAAGTTAGCTGCTTTCTGATAAGGGATTTTGGTATCTGTCTGCTTGTCTTGTACCCTGAGGGGTATGTTGAATTTTTCCTTTTGCACACCATGCCTTTGGATGCCCAGATAGTGTCTGGGGACTCTCAGAATGCCACTCTGCTGCTAAGCCTCCCTTCCACTGCTGAATAGCTATCTAGGCTTTTGATTTGTTCTTTGGCCTGCAACCATGTCCCTTTAGGCTGTAATCTTGTCAGATCTTGCAGTGAGGGAAGGTCAAAATGGGTCAGTGCTTTAAAAGGAAAGCTTTCAAGAGAAAAGAAAAAGTTGCACAAGTACATTTGTAGTCCTTCCATTAGAAATAGTATATCTGGACTTTAGAGAGCATTTGTGCTACTGTATATCCTTTTGATCGTATTTAAAACAAGCCTTTGTGACTATTTTATAATTCCTGGGGCTCTTTTATAAGGGCTAGATTGAAAATCCTGGCGAATTATAACTTACATAATTAATTTATAGAAAATTAAAAATTCTTTATTGGATCTAAAATAGATAAGACAGTCTTTTTTTAAAAAAATAAGAATTCTGTCCTGTATTGCTCATTGTAGAAGGAGCTTGTTGTTTATGTGAAGGTTTTACTTGTTGATTCATGGTTTTTATGTTGGTTTTAGAATTAATGAAAGAGATGTTGTACATTTCTACTTAAAAATATGATTTATTTCTTACAGAGTCCGTAGCTCGCTCTAGTAAATTGCTCAGCTGGTGCCAGAGGCAGACGGATGGATATGCTGGTGTAAATGTGACAGATCTCACCATGTCATGGAAAAGTGGCCTAGCTTTGTGTGCCATTATCCACAGATACCGTCCAGACTTAATGTGAGTAACTTGGCTGTTCTGAATAACTAAGAAGAGCAGAACGTTAGTGATATTTGGAGCTAATAGTGTGGAGACTTAAGCAACGCGTTTGTGACTTCCTGAGAAATGGACTGAAATTAATTCAATTAAAATTGATAGAAGCTAACGTATGGTGATTGACCAGCAGAGTGGAAGGTCATAATAGCTTGATAAATATGAAAATAAATGTGTTGTCATTTTCCCTTCTGGATGATTTGACAGAATTAACCTTCAAATTGGTACTGACTGGAAACCATTATTGACTGACAGCTCTTTTCTCTCTGAAGTTATTCAGGAATAGTTTATAGCTTCAGTTAAATTTCTTATGAATGAGTCTCTACACAGCCCTTTATAAATCTCCTGTTTAACAGTAACTCTTTTTAAAGACTTTTAGGCTGCTCTTTTTAGAAGTAGTGACCCACAGTCTAAATAGAGATGTTGCTACTAAAGTGCTGATTGGATGAATGGGGGAGGCATCCTCTTAACGTGATAAATTGGGTAAAACAGTGCCCAGATGCTAGAATGGGAAAACGCTGGCTGGAAGAAGTAACAGGAGCAAAGACTCTGCTATTTTAATTGAAATCTGTAATGGCTTCAACTTCCCAAAGGGATGTTAGCAAAAATAAATGTGGGAGCTGCATTTAAAGACCCAGTCCAATGTAAGGCATGCTGAAAAATTACTTGGTTATTCCTTTCTATGTGCACTGAAATACTTCTCTATTGGTGTACTTGAGTTAACCTGAGCTATTCTGTTCAGTATCTCTATAGCTTGTGGAAAGTTCAAATAGCTTTTAAAATGGTTTATATAACTCTGTACAAGCTTCTTATATGGTTCTACAAGTTTTGGGAAAAGCCAGCAGAACTCAAATATGGATCAGTCAAAAAAAAATGGGACAAAAATAAAGACTTAATTTAGTTCCAATCACACGAAAGATTTTAACGTAGGGGAAAACCAGTACAGTCTTCCAGCAGTGGAGGAAGTGAGGAAATATTTCAGAGGATAATAAAGTTTCTAAGAATTGAAATTAAGAAAAAGTATGTTCGAGCCAAGTAATAATCAAGTACCATAATCAAGTAGCATCAACTCTGCAATACAAAAAGGTTGCTGGCAAATAGATTTGAAATATTTTGGAGAGAGGAAAAAAAATAGATGGATCTCTGAGTTCTTTCAGAAGACTGATTTGTACTTGATCCAGTGCATGCTGCCTTTCTGCCCTTTGCAGAGACTTTGATTCTTTGGATGAGCAGAACGTGGAGAAGAATAACCAGCTGGCCTTTGACATCGCTGAAAAAGAGTTTGGAATATCTCCCATTATGACTGGAAAGGAAATGGCATCTGTGGGAGAGCCAGATAAACTGTCGATGGTGATGTACCTCACGCAGTTCTATGAGATGTTCAAAGACACCATCCCCTCTAGCGGTAAGGAGTTTGGGGCAGGTGTCTCAGACACCTTTGGGATGAATGTGTGTGCTTCAGTTATCTTCATGCTGCTTCTGCGTAAACTCATACTAGTCACTCACTAACTTGACATTACAAAAGTTGACTTCTTATTGGTGCTGATAAAGACTGTGCTGGTGGCATCAGGTGCAAAAAAATGAGTTAATACAAAATAATGTTCTCAAAACAATGTCCTAAAGAATTCTAAACTCACTTCAGCAGTACTAGATAACTTTTCTGCTTTCTTGCTATTATTAGGGTTTTACCTGTCTTGGCTAATGTGAGATGCCTTCGAGCAGTTGTTTAGTAGGTGATTTCAAAATGCTGGCCAAGTTTTATATCTGTTTACTATCTGTCAATGGTAAGAGTAACTTCAGGCCCATGAGGAATGAAAGGTCTTTGATTTGGACTCAAAGATTCAATTGCCTAACACAAATCAATATGGCCTACTTTAAATATTAATAATGTTGTTATATCTTCTTCTTTATTACTGATGATCTTAATTCAAGTCTATCTTTCTGTTGGGGGAAAAACTGTATTTTAAAAAAATTGTGTGCCTTTAAAAAATATATTGCATATCAGGTATTATCTTTAAAACTCTGAACACTTAAGAATACTGGTGATCAGGATGCTTTTTAAATATGAAAGTAAATAGAGTAAACAACCACAGTATTTATTCTGAGTGGTTATAAACTCTGAAAAGAGACTTGATTTTGGCAAAATTAAAAAGCAGAGTGGCTGAGAAAAGTATTAATTCTGGACATTAGAATCCTTTTGTACAGAGAGTTTAAGAAAAGGAGTTATGTTAAAAAAAATATCAGTGAGTCTTTCAGTTGTGTGTGAAATCATATCACCACAGAAATGATTTCTTGGCATTCCCTTGTCCTACCTGTTTTTGCTAACAGATGCTCTGGACCTGAATGCAGAAGAAAAAGCTGCCCTAATTGCCAGTACCAAATCACCCATCTCTTTTCTCAGTAAACTGGGACAAAGCATCTCTCGGAAACGCACTCCAAAGGTAACCATGTCACAGTCTTACATACACACTTGTGTTTGTTAGACTCCTGTCCAAGTAGGTGGTACCAAAAATATATGTGTGTGTATCTGCTATGTGTTTGCAAAAGACCATGTGTCCATCAGTTCTTGGCATGGGATGATACATGGCATGTATAACTTCTGAATTACATGTGTAGTATGTACTCTCAATTAATGGTATTTCAATCTTAAAATCCTAGCCTTGTGGTAGTACTTGGGGATGTATTTTGTATTGAAACACAACGGGTTTCTCAGTTCCCAATTAGTTCAAAGTTTTGAAGGATGTCCAATTTGAAGGTAAGAATCCTCTAAAACAAATGGAGAATAAGCCCACAGAATTAATCAGTTGTGTTGCAAAGCTTAAGTGCAATGATGGCATTTATCTCAGGCCAGAAAGGTGTGGGAATCCTTATCTTTGTTATTTTATCTCCTCCTCCCATTTTCAGGACAAAAAAGAAAAGGAACTGGACGGTGCAGGAAAGAGGAGAAAAACCAGCCAATCTGAGGATGTAAGTATTACAGTGAGGAAAGTGTCAGGGAAGGCAACACGTGGTAGGTTCCTTATTCCCACTTCAGTCCTCTCATTTTCTTTCTTCATTTTCAGACAGGGCTTATATAAGATTTATTTATTTTTTTTTAGATAAAAAGTAATTATTCTTCAGAGGTTACATTTTGTCATAGCTATAGTGCAAATATTTTACTGATGCTTACGAAAGAATAGTACACAACAAATGAAATGTTGCAGTTCCCTCATGTTCTATTTTTACTGCAATTTACTTTGATTTGATGAGGACACCAAGAATAAAACTTTGATTTAGTAAAGTCATGCAGTGTAGTCAGAATCTGCATTCATATTTAACTTTAGCCTTGGTTAGTGCAAAAAGCATACATTTCTACTATGAACATTGAAATGTTTATGGCCAATAGGTACAAGTGAGTTAAAACTTAGTGCTTTGAGTTCTCAATGAAGGTTTGAAGATAGGTCTTTGCTTTGTGTCGGTGGATTCATGGGAGTGTTTCAACTGTGGTGTCTTTGGTAGGTAAGTGTATCAAATAAGGTTGAAAAGATAAGTAGAGTTTACCGTGTCATCAAAAGTTCTGTTAAAGGAAAGTAAAATGTGAGCTTTTAAGTGCAGACTAATAGATTTGTTTTCTACAGTGTTAGAAACCTATCACATCAAAGGGGTAGAGAAGAAAAGGTGATCCAATTGCATCTTGGTCAATTTTGATATCGTTGATTGTTAGGAGGACATCCCACGAAGCTACAGAGAAGAAAGGCCCACGCTGGTGAGTGCCTTGACAGAGAGGAGAATTGACGCTGCCATTGGGAATCAGAACAAAGTCAAGTCGATGGCAACCCAGCTGCTGGCCAAGTTTGAGGAGAATGCACCAGTGCAGTCCTCAAGCTTACGAAGACAGGTAGGAGATGAATAATAAAACCCTTTTGTTTCGGAATTATGGAGGAAAATAATGAATAACATGCATTCCTTGAGATGGGTGGTGCTCTTCTACTTCAGAAGTTCTCCTAGAGAAGAATGAAGCTCACTCAAAAGAGAAAAAAATTAAATTTAAGAATATGGGATAGAGAAGAACTTCCTAATAAAAATCTATTTCCCTGTTATTGCCCATATTACTTTAGGTAATCTCTTTCAAAAACATCTTACCAGCAATCAAATTTCTTTTATAACGACTATTGCTGTTGAAAAGCTTTCCAGGAACATCCTATTTCTAAAGTTTAAGAACCATAATTTAATTTCTGATTTGAACTTTTTCATGCCAGACGATGTCTGTCTGTCCTTGTGAACTGTGGTTAAGTTCTGTATGTGTGTGTAAGCACCTGGGAGTTTCTTTGCAATCGGGATATTAGTGTCATTCCCGGTGAGGCTTCCTGATGGCTGCTGGTTACTCAGGATGGTGTCCCAACTACTGCAGCTGCAGGGTGGTTGTCCTTGAAGTTAGATTGAGTCACTTCAAGCTCCTGCTAGCAGTGTGGTGTCAGCAGTATAAGGCTCGGTATGGTTTAAGCGCCTGAGTTCTTGCTCTGCTGTGTAGTCTGTCTTCATAGCTTGTGCCAAGCTCTGTGCTGCCATGGCCAGATTGTGAGTGGGACCTGACCTACCTACTTCAAAGCTAGGTCAGGTACGTGTATGCTACACTGCACACCAGTGTCAGCAGTATAACAGTATCTCAAAATGGTGATGTTTATCCCACTCTTTATCAATCAGATGTTTCCTCGGCCGCTACATTGGCTGGAAGAATTGAAGGAAGAATAAAAATAAAGGGAATGTCCAAAACCATAGGAAGTTTCCCATTTTTTCTTGGATGTTTGTTTCCCTTTTTGTTTTACTTGCTAAACAAATTCTCCCCTACCCTATTTTTTTTTCTTAAATGTTTGTCTGTCTTACTCTGTATTCCATTCCTCTGGCTTTCTTTGAGTTTCCTTCACTATTTTATCTTTCCTCCTTGGTCCCAACTCACTTTCCCTACAACCTGCATGCAGCAACCTGTCCTGCCTTATCAAGAACGTGTTCACAATCAACCATCCAGCAGACGAGAGCAGGGCCGTCTTGCTCCCATACCCCAGTGGAAACAGGTAAAGAAACTGATTATGAATACGATGCATTGCCTGCACCCAACACCACCTATCACTGTCCTATTTATAAACCAGTCCTTTTCTAGCACCTTGTGTGAGCTTGTTATTTTAAATAGTTTAACTTTTAAGGAATAAAATCAATATCTACCTTTGGTAATGATGCATGGTTTAATGTTTCGAAAGGACTTCAGTCGGATTTTCCCTGCCCTCTTGTGCTAGTTTCAACTTCCCAGGGTTTCAGTGGATATTTTAGCAAAATGCTCACCTACAGATGCAACCTAGTGTAGGCATTTTATCATCTGAAGTATTTCTAGATTTTTCCATTGGAAAAAAATTAAAAATATATAATAAATTATTGCAACCCATGAGGTTAAAGGTGTTAATGCCATCTATGTATTAAAGCTCTTCATTAGTGTACACGTAGTAAAATTGGTTATCAGTTTTGCTATTCACATGTGAAATCTTGTGTTCCACAGTTACAGGACACCTTACTGTGGTTTCTTTTTCTCTATGACAAACGAAGCTGTCCTTGCCAACTTCTTGCATTCATTGCATTGCAGATTCCTGTGTTACTGTGAATTAAGTAAATTCTAGGTTTTATGCCACAGAGGGGGTCAGAATAGGGATCAACAGCAGTAAAATCAACAGGTATCAAATTTTATTTTCTCTCATGTGTTTTGGCCCAGTGTCATTGCCGGTGTTTTTGTTTCAGCAGTGCTCTTTCAAAAGCAAGGCTTGTGACAGACAATCTTTTCATGTGGATAGGGATACTGATCTCACTGGCTTCCTCTGTTTCCTCTGTGCATGTGGCCTCCTCAGGTTTCTGAGAGTGCTGAGATGCATTTTTCTGGTAGCCGTAATTTGGGGAAACATCTGCTTCTTTCTGGTTGCAATTTAATCAGAGCATACTTTGGAGTCAAGAAGGAGAAGATAACGCTAGGTTGGAAATTCACTGTTCTGCATGTTTATGGATTCACGGTGAGCTTCATGTTCGAGACATTCAACACAATTTGTGCTGCATGTCGTGACCACTGCTATGATCTAAAACATCTCTCCAAGCAAGAAGACCTAAATCAGGGGAATCGTTGGCAGCAGGACTGTCAAGAGAGTCTTAAAAACATGTCAGCATTATGTTTAGGTTTCTTTTCTTCTGCATTCTGTCTCATCAGAATCTTCTACATAGGCTAATGAGTACTTTCAGGTCGATACACATCATAGATAATTAAGGCAAATTGCATTTTTAAAGAATACTTCCCAGGTAAAAGGGGAGAACGCAAAGAATTGGTGCAGAAGAACATAATATGGGTCTATGGTATTAAGTCATTTGATGAGCACTGCTTATGTTACCCCACAAAAAAGGGGAAGACAATCAATGCAGTCCAGTTTATCTCCATTCAGAAGGATGAAGATTTGTGTTTTAGCTCTTGGAGAAGATCATAGCCCTGCAGCTTTGAGATTTATATATGAACCTGCTATTGAAAATTATGAAAGCTTTATAATTAAGCTTTTATGGTGAAACACAGAAGTTCTTGTCATCCTTTTGTAATCGACCAAAAAAAGCACAAACTTTTGTTGCCTGTTTATGTTGAAGATTTTCTCCTCACCAGAAAGCAGTTTGTTGTTGGTTTTGTTCTTGTTTTTGCTTGCACTACATAATTAAAAAAGAAAACAAACAAGAAGAGGGGAAGAAAAAAATTCCTTCTGGTCTCCCTCAACATTGATAGCATCTCTGTATGGACAGCACTGTAAGGCATATCTTTGAAAAATTTTTATGGAAGGGTTACGGTTTCAGAGGACTTGGGTTGTTTTATTGAACACTGCCATTGCTTGCCTTGTGTGGATGATTTCCTTCTCAAGATTACAGCTGGAGATGATCTTCCCTTAATAGGCTTTACTGCACCAACAGAAGATGGTTGGTTCTTGGGTCCAGGTTTCATGCTGGATTTTGCGGTGCTCTTCATTTGACAATTGAAGTGGAGAAGAATAAAACCAGGTCTCAAGGATGCAGAATCTGCAGGACACAGTATGATCAGAGGAACAATTGATATGATCCCTATTCCAAAGATTTCTTATTGCTTGTCTGGGGAAATGAAGAACATAAGTTGTCTTCATTCAAAAGCTATGGGAGAATATATAGCATCATTTATTTTTGACTAATCAGAGGTCAGCTGAGGCAGGAAGCCATCCACTGAGTCAATCAGCCAGCTTTGCCAAGCTTGGACAGAAATCCATCCTACAGGAGGTTGTTGCTGAAGCAGTGCTTCAGCTGGCTGCTGAAATTCCTAATTCTGGTTGCTTTGTGAGACTGTGTGTTACTATTGTACTGAAATGGCTTTCTACTGTGACACTGGGCACTCTAGCTACAAAGCTATTTTCTGGGCCACAGATTACCAACAGTTGAGTTGGTGCAGGGTACCAACCATGTTACTGGAGATACTGGAAAAGATTAGTATTGCTCCTGACAAGCTCTTTAGGAAGGATGTATGTTTATTGGAAAGAGTTGAGTTGTTTGACACAGGTGTCACAGTTTATGAGCAGAAACTTCAGTCAGTGACTGCAAACAAGATACATCACATGGTGAATACCTTCTCCTGAAGAGTCCTTTGAAAAGGAGCAAAGCAGTTCCTAAGGGGACAAAGTGGTGACACGTTACTCAGGGAAACCACAAATTGTCTCATCTTCTTGCCAGTGGGCAGAATGAAGTTGAGCTTGTCAGGGGCATTTGGGAGAAGGGAAGTTTTGCATCTCGTGTTTGATAGGTTTGGTCCTGCATCTTGGAAACTGCATGGGAGAGGAAAGTGTACTGCAAAAGCTTAAGAGCAATTGCAGGGGAGAAACCACACAGTTGGAAGGGATGTGTTCTGGGTTGGACCCCCAGTTTTGATGGAAAACTTGTATTTGTCTTGGGCTATTCCCTGCCAGAGTCTGTCAGGTGGACATCCCTAGCTGTACTTGCTTATCAGTTTAAGTCTAGAATCTTGCTTGGCCCTGGAGTTAAGAGTTAAGAGGCCAGAAGTTTAAATGAGTTTGTAAGGTAGGCTGTGTCTGTGTCTCGTTACACAGGTGGGGTAGGGGTGACAGGATTACTAGAAAGAGTGAAATCCTAGCAGAATCTGTTCTGAAGCAGTTTCTACGTTCATCACAAGACTTTTAGTGCTGTCTCCTGTGAGAAGGGGAAACCTTCAAAAGATTAAGCAGGTTAAAAACCTCACCACAGCGTTCTGTGTGGCCTGCAGTTTCCTCATCAATTGGATTACGAAGTTTGCTTTATTGAGCTACACTTTGAGAATGTTGAACTGTGTTGGCAAAACTGGTTTCATGCTATTATGAGCACCTCACCAGCAGCTAGGAATGCATGAAGATACTGTTAAGTGTATGTGTTCAGTGGAAATGTGTGTAATTTTTTATTTGATGGTAGTATCTCCTAAAAAAACTGGATTGTGTTTCCTGGTGTGATGGTTAACCTCCTCAAGTGAATGCCTACCTGTATAAAAACATTGTCCATGGTGTATTCTGTTGCTTTCCAAGCTGTTTTGGCTGCTTTTGGGAAAGAATATTTCATCAGGAATCATGAAGCCATTGAAAAGATATGTGATCTGTCCAGAAGAGGATCTAACTGTTTGGGTATGGTGTGGGAGACCAGCCTTTTAAACTCAATTTTGTGCTGGCCTTCCAGATTCTCGGCTTATGGCCTTTGGCAGTTTTCTGCTACAGTTTCATAGGTCTCCTAACAGCAGCAAGGTATGTGTGTAATACCTTAAATCACCATTGTGTGCAAAGGTGCTTCTAAGATGGAGATCACATGTCTTTTGGTGCAAATCTTTTCTGCCTCTGGAGGTCTGATGCTTGTTCTTTTGAGATGATCCCCTGAAGTGTGATAAAGGTGCAGCAGTACAAACTCATTTCAGTAATTCTGGTGGAACTGTGGTTTTTGAAAATACACAATGACAGAGATTACCATACTCAGCAGGAGCTGAAATTTTAACAGAAGAGAACTTAAAACACCAATGATTTCTGCAAATATTGTTTTTCCTACTTTATTTCTTATTTAAATCTGGTGATATGTCTTTCCTATAGCCATCTTTGTCTTTGCGTGCTCAGAGATGCATCCTACTGGAGGACTTAACGTGTACTTCATGTACCTGTACGATGTTATATCTGAGATCTGCCACGGAAAAATACACAAGTCTGTGAAAATGTTGAAATCTGAAGTGCAAACTCAGGAATGGTCAGTTGAAAGCCCAGGAACAGCTGTAGTGGTTGAAAATGCTATCACCCTTTCAGCCAGAAATTAGTGACTTCACAGCGGAACCTTTGAAACAGCATATAGATGTTCCTCATCCACTTCAGTGCAAAGTCATGTGCTTTAGTTTAAGCTGCTTGTAGCATGTGTTTGAATTGGAAGAGTTGATTATTTTTTTATTTTTTTTCTGAAAGGGAAGAGAACACCCAAACAGATGTTAGTGCCAGCTCAGCTATAAGGGCAGTAAGGAACATCTGTAGTAACTTTAAACAGCATGCTATTTCTTTGGAGGTTTTCTAACGGTGGCTTTAGATACACAGCATTTTAATATTTTTTTTTTGCAGTGCAACAACTTCCAGATATGCTCTGATAAGAACTCAAAAGAAAAGGAAAAATCAGTTGGCAGATACATTAATAATTGAGCAGTGATGGAGAAATGTCTGTATGTAATAAGGAGGTACAGAACTAGAAAGGCATGTTTTCTGGCATAATAAAATGAGGACATGTATCTGCATTGAGTAATATTCAGACTATTCGATATGTCTATGTTTTAGCTATAAAACAGCTCTATTTCTGTTCTCCTAGAATGGCGGAGTATGGCTTAACTTGCCTGAGTTGGTTTAATATCTGTAAGTTAAAGAGGAGGGATCTATAGCTGAGAACAGAACTCTGTGACCTGAGTTGTTTTGCTAATGAGCTGAAAGCAAGAGTAATTAGGTCAACAGGATGAATGTCTTTAAACATAGCAAGACACAGCAATAAGTAATTTTTATGAAGCAAAGAGAGCACAGTCCAGCTGTGCTATGGAGAGTTCCCAGTTGTACCTTTCACCGATTGTAAGACCATGAATCAGAAACTGAACTGATGACTGATGTAAGTACCTGTTGGCTGTCCCCAGCAGTAGCTGTCAAACGGACGTGTGGTCGTGTTGCTATGGGTGAAAAATTTCCATCTTTCAGCTTCAGATAAAATGTAGCCTTGGGTCATTTGTGACAGGTGTGAGTTCAGGATCACGATGTCTCAGTTCATGTGTTCTGGCCTGTCTCACCAAAGCCAATGGTAATGTTATCTTTTTTTCTACTATTATTATGATTTTTTTTTCTTTTTTCTTTAAAAAAAAAAAAAGATGAGGAGTAGAGAACGTTCTCGGACCTGCCCCAAAAAAGTGATCATGCTCTCTTCTTCCACTCCACCTTCTTCTCCACCATATCCCAGGCAGCAGGTGATTCCCTCTGCATGCTCTGTCCTTCTCTCTTCATTACTGCTTGTACAAGCGACTAGATCAGTTACCACCTACCCCATTTACAAACGCATTTCCAGTTGTCTTTTTTCAGATGGTGTTAGGGCTTCTTCAGCCTCTTAGATTAGAAACACAGGTTGGTATTAGCTCACCAGAAGTATGATTATCATGATTATTTGATGCACTGGAGACTCTGAGATTTTACTGTATGCTAATTTGTAATGACAGTAGCCGTTTCCAGTTTTGAGTTGCAGCAAAACAGGAATTAAATATTTGGAGTAGTGCAGGGGAAGAAAATCCAACTTTTCTGTTTACACTCTTCATTTAAACAAGCATGAGTGAAAATTTGCCCTTGTATTCATGAAACTCTTTCAGGATTACTTATATGAAGTGCCTTTTCAGAGTGTTGTAGTGGCTTGCACATGTCCAGTGTGGTCTTCTGTTTCCCCCACACCCAAGCCTTGGTCTCACAGGAGTTTCTGTTCAGTCTGAGTTTCAATTTGGAGCAGTGAGAGCTGTTCTGGACAGAGTGTATAAATGTGCATCCAGATGTTTGTGCACATGTGTTTGCTGTCCTTAGAGTTAAATATTAACTAAAATCCTTTAGTATTTGTGCCTTGTTGTACACGCTCATCGTGCTTCTTTGAGTTGTGTCTTTTTTAAACTTTTGTTTCCTACTGCAGTAATAAATTCCACGCCTCCCAGATTATTCCTGCACTAACCTTGAGGTGATAAAAAGGCAGCTGCAATTCCATAGACCTCACATAGCTTTAATAGGAATTGTAAAAATAAATTTCCCCATAGGTGGAAAACATCTCTTTGCTGAATGCTTGTATGCCTATAAACTCTGTAAAGGCATGTTACCTTTTGGCAGAGTAGACAAGACTTATCCTTGGACATAAAGTTTGACTTGCCTTATTGCTGTGATTTCTCAGAGTGTTGTTACATGTTAGATTTAATTTGATCTAATTATTGTCAGCCTCTGGAGCACACATTCTCAGCTGCGCTTCTGATGTCTGCATCTGCAAGATAGGTCAGGTCTGCTTACTGATCTGATTAAAACTGTCCTGGCAAAAAAAGTGGTTAGTTTGCTGGCACACCGAGGACAGCATGGTGCAGGAAAGGGTACAGGAATGGATATCTAGGTGGAATGGGTGGGGAAAACCCTTTTCATTAGCAAAACCTGCATTTAAACTGAATTCAGTGTAATATTATCAGATGAGATTGCAAGCTGCTGCCTTCTTGCCTTTGAAAATTTGGACACATGTATTTTGTGAGAGAAGAAAGGTATTTTTCTATTTACTGATAGAGAAACAAAGGCAGTTAAATGCTGAGTTTTACTTTTGAATCTATGGTATGGGATTAATTTTCCATATAGGGAAACTGGTTTTCAGTCACTAAGGTTCCCATTGCTCTGTATGTTCCCTCTCTAGCTTCTCCAGTTGTTTGTTTGTCTGGTGTCTTTTGGTTGCCTAGTTCAGTCATGAGAGCCAACTACTGCAGGGTCCAAGTGTACTTTGACCATTTTCTGTGTTATGTCCTGTTGGAAACCTTCTTTTTTTTTTTTTTTTTTTTTTTTTTTTTTTAAAAAAAAAAAAAAAAAAAAAAAAAAAAAAAAAAAAAAAAAAAAGTTCTAGGAAAAATATTAAACCC